TTAAGAGTAAGAATGGGGAATCCCACAGAAGCTTTCTGGTTATATACATAAGTCATACGCTTCTACATTGTATCATTTCCTCTTTGTACTTGGGGTGATATTTCTTTGTAATCATTTTTTTTGTGGTATTGGTACATGAGATGAGGTATTTGGATATTTTGCAGATACGCTCACTGGGAGAAGGCTTCTCCATGGTTGGTTGGGATAAATCCTCGAGATGAACTGATGCCTATAGATGGTGATGATGGCTTTTTCCCCACTACTGGAAATGATTTGGTATGCCTGAGTTATTTCGTTCCTAGTAGTTCTGATTTTAAACTGGAATTCCATATCTGACTTGCTACTATTTAGAAACCAGAAGTGGTTAATTCCAGTCGGAAATATCGTGTTCGTGTTCTGGTATGTGCTCCATCAAATTCTGCCCTTGATGAAATTGTATTACGACTTCTAAATACTGGTCAGTCACTCTTCTTTGTACTGTTATCTTCATACTGAGTATTGTATTTGACAGTGAGAAGTTTAGTTCCTAAACTTTTGAATTAGGGTTATTTCTGGATCCAGATTATAGGGAGCTGCTGAAGGCATTTGTGTTAAATGTAAAAAGTAAGAAACCTGTTAACCACTTCACGGGCAAGGAAGAAAAACTCCTGAAAAAACTCTCTACATATGGCAAGTTATGCATTTTAAATTTGAGGGATGCCATCTGGAATAACATGGCTTTACTGGTAGCTTCTGCACATATTCATCATGCAAGATCTCTATTATAGTTTAACTGATTGTAAAACATTCCACGTATGAAACTCTCTGTAAAAGAAAAATCCTAGTAAAGAAACGGGAGGTAGCATCTTACTTTCTATGTAAGTAAGTATTGTCTGACTTATGTCTTATGATGCCTCTGGCAGAATTAGCTCATTTTTAGCTGAAAATACAAGTCTCTGTTTAATGTGTTTTGTACTGGGGTCATTGAACAACCCATCAAGGTTGGCACCCATACATACTCACAATTTTGTTTACCAGGTAGTATTTCTTTATATTACTCTACAAGTGCTGAAAATTTAGATTATTAACATATAAATCTTGCTTTGGACTAATCAGAATCGGAGTTGTTTATTTATGTTGGCAGGTATCCGTGATGAAAATGACCATGCTTATAGTCCTAAATTGTTCGAATTGGTCTCAAACCTCATCATTCTGTCCAGGCAGTCTCTATGGATTATCTAGTACGTACCTTGCTTCCATTAAACCTAATTGAAGTACAATCCAGTGCGATTTAAGCATCACTGGAATCTTGTTTTTGTAGGTGGAACAGAAACTTGCAGGCGTGGACTTTCAAAGTGGTGACAAGCAGAAGCAAGGAGGGGCTACAAAGGATAAAGATGGCATCCGAGCTTCCATTCTAGATGAAGCAGTAATTGTATGTAATTTCGGTCCTCCATTGGCACTTAAGACCAATATCGGTTTGTAATTCTGGAACTATTTGCAGGTGTTCTCCACCCTCAGTTTTAGTGGTTCAGCTCTTTTCAGTAAATTAAACCGCGGGTTTGACGTTGTTATTATAGATGAAGCTGCTCAAGCTGTAAGTCACGATACCCTATTGTTTTACCTTTATTTAGTTCCCAATTTTAAAGTACCAAACAAGTTTGTGACAGGTTGTACCATTATTTATACTATATTGGCGGCAAAGGCATTTTAATAAGTAACTATAGCAGTCAGGATCCTTGATCCTTGGAACTTTCACATATGGAATATAACCTTATTGAAATGTAGTTGGTTGGTTCGGCATAATGGCAAACACATTTGAAAGTCCAGAAGCTGAAGTCATTTTTTTTTTGGTTTTATTTTTAATAACAATGTCAACTCTTGGCATCTTAATGGCAAACTTTATGTCTCTAATAGGTTGAACCAGCCACACTAGTTCCATTGTCCAATGGGTGCAAACAAGTATTCCTGGTACATCTTTCTTTGAAGTGATTTTACTATAGGCTTACTGTGATTTACACATCTCAGCTGGCCAATATTTTATTGCGATAAATTGTACTTTCACCAGTTTGAATGGTGCAATCATGCAAAGCAGCAGAAGAAAGCATTGTAATTTTAGCTCTTTATTTTTTGGGGCAGAAATTCAGAAACTTAAAGTGGTTCATCAATCTTCTTAAGTAGTTTATAAGCAATATGCTTCAGCAGTAATGTATTACAAGTTAGAAAACTTTAAATGGATAGCTCTTGCATAAGTGATTTTGAAGATTTTAAAGTATGATTTTGTTCTTTTCTGAGCTAAAATTGTATTATGATCTTTCCCTTTCTTCCTAGGTTGGTGACCCAGTTCAGCTGCCAGCCACTGTTATCTCTCCCATAGCTGAAAAGTTTGGGTTGGTGCAAAAATCTTCAGCTTGATCACCTTAATGTCTTCTTGGTTCTAACATTTTCTTTGTGATAGATATGGAATGAGCTTATTCAAAAGATTCCAGAAAGCTGGCTATCCAGTACAGATGCTAAAGACCCAATATCGCATGCATCCAGAGGTTTGTTGAAGTTTGCTCCACTTCTTGAGGCTCACACATTTCCTCACAGTTTTGGTTTCTTCATTTAGGGAGACAATTACCGCTCTGGAATTAGTCCTGGTTTGTTGTTTACCAATAATCTCTTGCAGATAAGGACCTTTCCTTCAAAAGAATTCTATGATGAGGCACTGGAGGATGGGCCTGATGTTATGGACCAAACAAAACGGTCATGGCATAAGTTCCGCTGCTTTGGACCTTTTAGCTTTTTTGATATACATGAGGGAAAGGAATCCCAGCCCTCTGGAAGCGGCTCTTGGGTTAACGTTGATGAGGTTGAATTTGTCCTGGCAATGTACTGTAAACTTGTGACTGGATACCCAGAACTCAAGTCGAGTTCCAGACTTGCAATCATATCTCCATACAGATATCAAGTCAAACTCTTTCGTGATAAGTTTCGAGAGACTTTTGGCGTAGGATCTGAAAAACTAGTAGACATAAACACGGTTGATGGATTTCAGGTAATTGGTTTTTCCTTTCTATCAAAACCTTGAAGGTTCTGCATGTTAGCTTCATCTGCCTGAACTAGATTTGCATCCATAACTCCTTTTGGGACCTTTTATGCTTGATGCTTCTTCAAAATTAGTTTACATAAGATCTGAAGGCACTAAGAGATTCATCTTTCTGAAATGTTCTAGGGGCGTGAAAAAGATGTTGCAATCTTTTCATGTGTTCGGGCCAGCAAGGATAGAGGCATTGGGTTTGTGGCTGATTTTCGACGAATGAATGTTGGAATCACTAGGGCAAGGTCTTCAGTCCTGGTATGGGTCCATTCTGATGAAGATGGTGGCTCGCAGAAGCATGATCTCAAATTTATTTCTGAAAGTTTCCTCTCAATCACAAGCTTTCTTTTTTCCTTATCTATCTTGCTAGGTAGTTGGTTCGGCAACCACACTAAAAAGAGACAAGCATTGGCAGAACTTGGTAGCAAGTGCTGAGACCAGAAATTCACTTTTCAAGGTACAAAAATGTTTAGGAGAAACAACAAGTCATTCTAATATTAGTATTGCCATGGGCAGTAAGCAGTAGTCAGCATTGACGTCAAAATTCCAACTCGACAATTGATTCATCTATTGTTATAGGACCAAAACAAGATTCCAGAATCTATGGAAGAGGCGTTGCTTGTGCTTTATTTCCTTTTCGGACAATTTCTCGTTTTTGTTTGTTAATAATTTTGGTTAATTTGACGCCCAAACTATAATTGTGCCTTATCAAGGATTCATAATGCTATGTTTCCCTTGTGCAGATTGTAAACTTATCTATGCGATGCATGCGGTGGAAAATCATTATGCTTAATTATTTATGCTGCAGGTTTCCAAGCCCTACACTGAGTTCTTTAGCGATGAACATCTTAAATCACTAGAAGCAAAGGAGTCTATGCCGGAGAGAGATGAGGTACCTCTCGAAGATATGGAAATTAGTGTGCCTATTCATGGTGCTGCTGATGATGCTGAGCAAGGGCAAGCTGGAGATCAGGATTGGGGAGATGCTGGAGAAGGAGAGGGTTTTGATGGGGGATTTGACGAAGATTGAAATGTCTCATTTTTTTGCCTCCCCAGGGGGAAGAGCTAAACCATCACTTCCTTTTGCTATAGTGATTACGCGCAGGGTTCCCACCGGGAGTGGATTTTTCATCATTTGTCCCTCTCACTTTCATTCTTTTATAAATGTACTTTAACCAGGATCATACAAAATATGGACAAAATGTTAGAAAGCACATGAACCTCGCACGTCAGCCTGTGCAAGGATTTGAGCTGTAAGTATAAGACTTCGGATCATTAGTTACATTCTCTTTCCTACTTTTGGATGAGGATCTAAAATCTGCCATACTTAATTCTATTAATGTACTTTTTTTACTCCCTCCGTCCCACTTGAATAGTCTCGTTTTCCTTTTTCGTCTGTCCCAAATTATAGTCCACTTTCCAATTGAAGAATGTAGTTGTATTTTAATTTTCCTAAAATACCCTTATTCAATGTAAGTTGTTATTACTATAAACTTACCCCATTTAATGAGAGTTAATTCTTTTTTTACCATCAATTCAAGTTTCCATAAAGTTGTACCATATTTAATGTGAGGGTATTTTAGAAAAATAGTAATCTAAATTTACTTTTCCAACAAAGTTAACTACTTTTTCTTAAACTGTGTGAAAAAAGAAATGAGACTATCAAAGTGGGACGGAGGGAGTATTCATTATGAAATTAAGCTATTTTTTCCCCTTAAAGCAAACAAACAAAACAAAAAACGAAAGGAATCTTAGAAGGTTATGCTGTAAATTTCAAGATTGCTGTCGACTACAATTGCATTCAAGAACGTCACCATATCATATAAAAAAAAAAAAAGAACAATCGAATCTATTGGCTCACATGATGACCTGTGGTAAAATAAATCGGTACCGAGTCTGGGGGAAAAATTGGGAATGGATTTTACAAATTCGTCTACGCTCAGCTACAAGACATTGGGTTACGTGTGTACACGTAGCCAGGGGAGAAGCTGACATGGTCATATCCATTAGTCACTGGGCAGTCAAAAGCGGCCTCATCTGACGGCTGAGATTTAATCGACTCTGCCATATCCTCTGGCGAATTCACCGGGAAGTTGTCGGAAACTGGACTTCGCCGTCCATCCTTTTCTATGAGCGACAGCTCGTTCTCGTTGAGGGAACCTAATTCTGAGTCTGTAGCCACCATATGAGAACCAAGGTTTTCAATCGCATCACCCGTCGACGGTGGAAAAGCCATGGGATCATCGTTTTCTGAGAATTCAGGCGGTGGCAAAGGTTCACTGCTGGGAGCAAAATGTGGAGAAGTTGGAACTTCTAGCCATAGATCATACGCTGGAGAAACCTCTGCTGGAAACTTAACTTGTTCTGCCGGTGAATCGGCTGGAGAAAATCCATGGCTAACAGCTGGTTCAGGTTCTGTAGAAGTAATCGAATCTTCATCGACATATCCGGAACTCGGGGACAAAACGTGATCAAAGAAATGAGAAGGCAAATGTTTCTCCTGACTGTCATTGATGAGGGGCGAGTTGAAACGATCATCATCAGGCAAATTCGACGGAGAAAGAGATGGCGCTTCAGTATCATCGGCATCTATCGAACTCCCCCAATCAATTGGAGAAGAGAAATTCGACGGCGGTGGATGCGCTTGTCTATCATTGTTCACCGGCGACGGAGCCGTCTTCAATTCTTGATTGGATGCACAGTTAAGAATTCCTCTCAAGCCGTGAACTGCGAGACTACGGCTATAAAACAGGCCAGGCAACAGAACACCGACGCCATCGATGGTGACGGCATCATCGGATGAAGTCGGGGAGCTCCTGCTCTCGACGCGGACCGTTGCTCGACGAGCAGCAGTTAGCGTAGGGAGTGACGATCCGGAAGTGAAGCGGCAGATGTCGGAGAAGGTCATGCGGAGAGGGATGACGTGGCAGCGGAGAATGGAGATGTAATCCGACGCCATATTAGTCATGTCAAGAGTGAAGAGAGAGGAGTCAGTGGGAGCAAAGAGGGTGAAGGACTTCCCGGCGAGGACCTCGTAGATGAGGTCGGAAGTGGCAATGGCGTTGCTAAAGAGGTTGTAGCCTCTGGCTCTGAGTACGTTAAGCATCGACTCTAACTCGTCGTCTTCCACGGCGGTGACGGTTGTGTTGGTGATGGTGAAAAGAAGGAGAATTACGGCGAGGAGGCGGAGAGTTGACGCCATTGATTGCGGTTACACAGTTGTGAATTTTGGCGGGCTTTTCCGTTGGAAATTGAAATGTGACGTCGGTTTCTGGACAATTGCGAGTGCAGTTGAAACAGATTCTTTGGCAGGCGGTTATTTATAGATAGGACGCCCGTTAGGCAGGCCCAAATCAGTTGGTTTGGGCTAGTCCTTTTTATTAGTTGGTTTGTTGTTCATTGACGAACCCATAAGACATCAGTCGAACTGACTGAAAAAAAAAATCATTTATAGATTAAAAAAAATTAACAAGTACCGTATAGGGATAGAACTTTATTTTATTTTTCTTTTTTTGGCATGATCTCACTTGCCTGAGTGAGTCAGTAGCAATGAGGAAACTATGGTTGAGAAGGGCTTTGTGCCCACATAGACAGGGGAAGGAAAGTGGAAATTGACTGAAAAGCCCAGTTTATTTGGTGACGAGGATACAAATTGAGTCATGCCTTCTCAGTTTATTTAACAAAATTTCATCTACTGAAAAGGAGAAATGGATGAAGCTATGTTGAATGGGTGATGAGAGAGAAGAAAATTTTGGCTATAACTAGTTAGCATAAAATGCTAGTTGCAGTGTTACTGCAGTGTGCATACCATTACCCAAAAACAAAAGGAAAAAAAAATTGTTAGTGCCTACCCACTCTTTATAGGATAGAAGGTGCAAATTGTCTATTGTCATTGCTAATTTCCTTGTACATCTTTTTTTTTCCCGCAACAGGGACTAAATTACTATCAGACAAGACGAGATAAGATTTGAACCCTAATCTCCCACCTCACTATTAATGTGGTAGCCAACTCCTCTATTGGGAGTTGGTTAATTTGCTAGTATATCTCAATTTTCAGAATTGGTTCGAGCCTAGATGGCTTTTTATTCCTCCGATTCCCATCAGAACAAGGTTTGGCTATAGTCGTCCTCATCCTGTACCCCTTTCCATGTTTTTCCCCCTTTTTGTCCAATAGCAACAATCGACACTAATTCTATCCATGGAGAAGAGAGCCCAACTAAGCTGGTACGGAGATTGGATGGTATACCTCTACACCAAACAAGTGCATTACGCACTTTCTGAATTTTTTGAACAAATAAAGCACGATACTTCTTTGTAATACAAATATACAATACATTATATGGAGTATGAACCCCCAATTTAGTGCATTGGACAGTTCTGAGAGGCTGTCATTGGCCATTTTAGAGCTCTCTCCTGTGGTTGAATCAAAGCCTAATAGTTCTTTCCGCTATTTGTTTACCAGCCCTCTTTTCTCCCTAAGAAACTGCTCCAATGACTTTGAAAGCTCGAGCAAGAGTCCTAGTCTCTACAACGTGTATAGACTAGCATTAGGCTAAGATTCTTGTCCTTTATTATTATTATTATTTTGTGATAGGTATCCCAAATGCGAAGTTTGATTGCCATCGACTTTTCTATCGGTACAAACAGGTTTCAGAGACGGAAACTATTTGAGATATTTTTACTGTAACACTTTTTTGATATGATATATGTGAGATAAAAAGGTGATTGAAAAATGTGTTGATGATACAATTAAATCAGTATATATAAATAATGTGTAAATAAAGTGAAATAATCTTCAATCCAAACACACTCATATAGATACTAAGGATAAAGTCCTCAGCAGGGTATTTCAACTTATGAGAATTACCTAGAGGAGGTTGAGCCCCCTTTGGGGTTGTACCATGAGTTTGAAAAAAAAAATGCTTATTAAAAGTATTTTTAAAGTGTTTGATAACTAGTTTTTAGTAACTTAAGGAACCCAACGTTTGGCTCCAACCACACTTCTTCAAAAAGCCAAAATTTGGTGCTGCTTGAATTGCTTTTACGCTCAAAATATGTTAGATTTAAAATTTGAGATTTTATCCTAGATTAGTAAAATGCTTTATCCAACAATTCTTAGAAATCCTTTGGCATAAAATGACTATTAGTTTTAGGGCTATGTTTGTAAATATACGAATAAAAGTGCTTTTTAAAAATTAAAACCAAACACAAGTAAATATCAAAAGTGCTTATGTAATTATACTTTTTAAAACACTTTTGTTAAAAAGTACTTGTATCAAAAGTGTTTCTTCATAAATCACTCAAAACGGGTTTAAATTGGATAGTAAGGTGAGAGAAACTATAAATAGGAGATTCTGAATTTCTTTAATTTATTTTAAAGGAAAGAGATTTTGAATTCGAAACCTATTATTTGAAAAAAAAACTTGTGATAATTAACTAATACTGCTCATGTTACATCTTTGGAAAAACGTGAGGACTCCTGAGCAAATGCGCAACGGATCTTCCGTCCCACACTGTGCCACTCTTTGTCCCATTTTTTATTATATTGTTATTTCTCCTTCATAAATATCATGTTTTAATTCTTTTTTGTTTCCTTAAAATCCAATAACTATTAATTGAGTAATACACAAAGTTTAACAAACTCAAAAAATCAAAATGCATAAAAAATGAGATTTTTTATGAATTTTCTGCTTTTTTTAATTTTCTATTTTATGAATTTTCTAGTAAAAAATAAATACAACAGCTTCAAAAAAGCAATATATAATAGAAAATTAAAAAAAGCAAAAAATTCATAAAAAATCTCATTTTTTTATGAATTTTGGTTTTTTGAGTTTGTTAAATTGTGTGTATTACTCAATTAATAGTTATTGGATTTTAAGAAAACAAAAAAGAATTAAAACATAATGTTTATGAAGAAAAAATAACAATATAATAAAAAGTGGGACAGAAAGTGACACAGGGTGTGGAACAGAAGATCCGTTCCTAAAATGCGCAACGGATCTTCTGACCCACACCTTGTGCCACTCTCTGTCCCACTTTTTATTATATTGCTATTTCTCCTTCATAAATATCATGCTTTAATTCTTTTTTGTTTCCTTAAGATCCAATAACTATTAATTAAGTAAAAAATAAATACAATAGCTTCAAAAAAGTAATATATAATAGAAAATTTAAAAAAATACAGAAAATTCATTAAAAAATCTCATTTTTTATGCATTTTGATTTTTTGAGTTTGTTAAATTTTGTGTATTACTCAATTAATAGTTATTGGATCTTAAGAAAATAAAAAAGAATTAAAATATGATATTTATGAAGGATAAATAACAATATAATAAAAAGTGGGATAGAAAGTGACACAAGATATAGAACAGAAGATCCGTTCCTGAGCAAATGGGATTGGAGAAATACGGTTTAAAAAAATAGGAAAATGAAAGGAAAAAGTGAAAGAAAGCGCTAACCACAACAACTATGCTAATAACTCCCATTGTTTGACCTCGACGCTTTTCGCATAACGACAAATGCAGGTAGTTTAATAATAATAATAATAATAATAAACGGCAGGGTAAAGCCTAATGGATAAGCATAAGATGCATGCGGCTCAGCATTTGTGGTGAACGTACTAGTTTTTTTTTTAAATAAAAATTTTGAGTGGTTTCATATCCTGTGTGTACCTATTTAATGAGAAAATTGAGGCATTTTTCCTATTTCATTTCAATTCCAATAAGAAAATTATTTATCTTTTGCTTTATTTAAAATATTCAATAGATATAAGGTGTTATTTCTCATTAAATTTGTATCATTTTCTTTTTTCAATTGGCTAATAATATAATAAAAGTGTTATTTTTCTTCTAAATTCAAGTTCTTTAATTTCTTCTTATTCAAAATTTATTGTCATATTGTTTTATATTTCAGTTTGTAACTATAAGTGATTACATATAATTATAAATAATTGGAATCGTAAATGAAAAACCAGAGTCAGATTTGGTTTCATCTTTTAAAGAAACTAGAATAGACAATTTTTGAATCGAAATTGACGGTTTTGAAACTATGACATCCCTGTCACCAATGGTCAAGACATACTTGCAACATAAACTGATGAATTACTTACCAACTTAATTTTTACATTAATAACGAGATTCGAATACTTGATTTTTTACAATAAAATGATTCATCTTTACTAACTAAGCTAATGTATGTATTGGTGAAATTACTGCTAGCTTGCCACAATTATTGTATCGTCAAAAACCCATAAATCCATCTGGAATGTATCTCATTTATTTGGATTGGAGTGCTTTGAATTTGGAATTTTTACTTTTGGAGTCTAAAATAATGCACCTCCAAAACACCTTAGAATTTTGTTTGGATTATAAATTATTTGAGATAAATTTGTGAAAAAGTACTGTAGCATTTTTTTGATATGATGTATGTAAGATAAAAAGGTGATTGGAAAATATGTTGATAATGGAAGCAAATTAGTGTGTGTAAATAAGGTGTAAATAAAGTGAAATAATTGACAATCCAAACACAATATTCCATACAATCTTCCAAATACACCTAACAAATATTTTTTTTAAAAATCAAATAAATAAAATATATTCTACCATCACTTTTTTCTCCCACTCACCACCTACTACCGCCCACATCTCTCATCCTCTTTTCTCTCGATCTGTCATTTCTCTTCCTTTTCCTCCCTTCCTCTTGCCCCTCCTTTTTCCCCTTTCTTGCAATCTCGCAAGAGTGGTAAGGGGTTGTGAGGAAGAATTAGGAAGGGAAAGAAGAGAGGAGAAAGAGGAAGGTAGAAAGGGAGGAAAATGAATATGGAGGAGGAGAAAGGAAAGAGTGGAATAGAGAAATAGTGGTGGTGTTACACGTTAGAGGATGGTTATTGTAGGAATTTTTTAAATAAAATTTTAAAAATAATTCAATAAAATTTTAATTTTAAAAAATACTTCATCAAATATCCAAATTATCAGGTTTTTAATATACAATGTACTGTAATATAATGCTAGAATATAGTATTTAAAAAACACCTAATCCATACAAAGATAATCAGTATGTTATGCGCAACATCCAAAATTATAATCATAAAATTCGATCCAATCCGACGGTTGAATCATTCAAATCGGTGAACTGGCATAGAATCGGGTTGAATCACTAATTAGATCAAACAAGTAATAAACTTGTTGACCAATTAATAATCTGACGGTTCAATCAGTGAATCAAGAAAAAATTGTCGGATAAATTGCCGAATCAAAAATTTTATTATTTTTCTAATTCAAATATATCAACATAAGTAGATAATGTGCCAACACCGTTCAGCCAAAAGTTTCATCGTCCTCTCACGTGCTGCGCATTTGATTGAAAGCGTTATGTTGTTCGCGTATAGCGCTTCAGTTTCCAATCTGGTCTCCCATGTGCCCGTGTTTCCTTGTTTCTGTACTTCTGCTGCATTTGCTTTCTTTCCACTACCTTTCTCTCTCTCCCTTTTTTTGGACAATGTTGCTCTGTCGCTTACCCAGACATATCCTCCACTTCTATCATATCTATTCACTTTAGGGTTAGATATACAGAACAACAAATGCCTCTCCGCCGCTTCTCCTCTCCGTCCCTTTCCTCACCAAAATTATATGACCAAAATCTTCAGCAGTGGTGAGCCTCCTTGCTCTTAGCTTCTTTTTTTTTTTTTTTGTCAATTTGTAACTTCCTTATTTTTTGTCAAATTGCAGCTTCCTTATTTTTGTCAGTTTGCAGCTTCGGTAGGCGATGGCGATTGGAGAAACTGGTAATGAAATTCTCCAAAGTGTGTTGTGGGCATCATTTCTAGCTCAAAGTTTGAGATTTTTGGTAGACCTTTGCATAGCTTTTGGGTTAGAAAATCTTTTATTTTATCCCATTTACTTCTCTTGGTCGATTTCACCGATCTTCATGTGGCTTATGGGTTTTTTTTTTTTAAGGATTCCTTGTTTCCGTCGGGTATGCGCTGATGTTTTGAGCCTTTGGTTTTTGTTTCCCCGATCTGTGTTTTTTCTTGTTTTTTTTTATTTCGTTTCTTCTTTTTAGTTGTAAAGATGGAGATACTGATTTTATTGCTTTTCGCTTTTAAGTTTTATTACTGAATCTGGGTTTTTGGTTGTTCCTTTTTTTTTTTTTCCCTTTAGAGTCTTCGATTTTTGGCTCACTAATAAACATGCCGTAGCTTTTTTCTTCTTCTTCTTCCCCGTACTGCGCTATTCTTTACAGACGCTTGTAGATCGATAGCTGATTGTGTTTTGTGTGTGAAATGTGCAAGATAAGGAGGGAAAAGGTAAGAAGAATCAGCAGCGATAACGGTTCCTTTACTTTCGAAGAAGACAATGAAGAAAAGGGTTAAGAATTTCAAGCAACCCCAGAGTGACCGAAAAATCTCCATCAAGGTATATCACCGTGATTCACTTGAAAAAAATTGTCCTTTTCAGCTTTTTTAATATTTTAGGAAATGCACTATATAAGGCATTTGCAGATTGATTGCGAAATGGGAAAATAATTGTGGAAGCTTTAAAGAAATTGATCAGAAATGTAAAGGAACTAACTTGGAATCTTTGGCTAGGTTTAGATTTTGTTACATTAAGGATGATGCATGTAATGTTAAAATACTCCAGGAGGGAGGCACAAGGCCAAACACATGGCAATAAACTTGGTGTTTTATAATTTTATAAACTTGGTACGGGATGAGCTACGAGTGTAGTTATTAGCATTATTAAAGGTAATGGATTCGGAGTTTGAAGTAGTTGATGAGAGATTGAAGATTTTTTTGGGTCAGCTGCAGATAGAATTTGGAATCCTCGATAGAATTGTCTACAAAAATAAGAATCAGCATTGAATGTGCTCTTATTTTCAATACCTGCTTAAGGTTGGTTTTTTTTTTGCCTAAAGTTTCAGTTTTTACTTGCTCAGTGAAAAGCACTAACATGTATGCCTTCAAGCATTTGCTTATTGGTTTTGTTGGTTTAAAATTAATTGTGATTTTGTGACAGGTTAGAAGGGATTTGAGGCTTCTGCAATCAGCAAAGTTGGAGGAAATCTTGAATTCCTGCTTTCTGGTAATCTATGGCAAAAGGCCTAAACAAAAACTGTAGCTTTTGGAAAGGTATAAACATAAAGAATGGCATATTTTCCATCATTGTTGTTTACCATATGCGTTGATTAGTGATTCATGCATTTTTTTCTGGAGAAAATAGCAAGATTTCATTGAGTTTCATCAGTAGATCGCAAAGCCATAAATTCTTAACATTTTCTTAGTAATTTGATGTGGAGGCTTCGAAAAGTTAAATTCGGAGTTGAAAGTTAATATTAAAAAAAATGATTAAATGACCAGTCTGTGAATGTAATGTACAATTAGTAATGATTAGACTCTTGCTTTCTGTCAAATTGCACATACCAAAATTTTTGGCCTTTCATTTGGGTTTTAGTCTGAAGCGGAGAAGGTGTGATGGTGGCAAATATAACTTTTTGGAAAGGCTTCTTGGAGTTGTATGTTTACTATCAAAGGTAGTACATTTATTTGTGATTTGTTGCTCACAGTTGTTTCTTTAAATTGTTATTCTATCTTCAGTTTTCTACACGCCTCAGTTGAGCGTATATTGCGAGGCATGCCATAAACTATGATCTTACATCTGTGCTTTTAAAAAATTTCCCATTATTTTGATGTCGAAATTAGTCCAAGTCATTGTCCATCAAAATCTTTGGACCTTAGAGGATTAAACTTGTGTTGATTTCAGTTTCTTCCATTGTTATTGTGTTATCTTCCTGTAGCAGCAAACAATTAACAAATCACTGCTACCTTCTTTCTTTACCATCCTCTTTCATCTACTTCTCTGGTATCGTTGTTCACGAGAGAAATATAATTAGCTGGAATCTTCGTTCTTTCCTAAGGAAATGTATCTGCTCTTCCACTTTACACCACAACCAGTGGGAGAGCTAGAGTAAAGATGTGGTTATTTTCAATTTTTTCTGGGCTTTTTAAGCGATTAGTTTCCTTTTGGTCTATTTACATCCAACAAATACCAATTTTCGATGTAAGCGATTGGAAAGATTCTCTCGGATCCACTTCTCGATGTAAGCGGTTGGAAAAACTCTGTCAACCTTGGTAAATTACCAACCTTTAAAATTTTTTTTTCCAGTTGGAGATCGACAGATTCTTTCTTTTCCATTCTTCCTATCATCCTCTCCTCCTATATAGAATTTCTCATCTATTTTTCCCACCATTTTCTTCTGCTAGAGACACGTCTTTTGCATTACATATAATAATGATGTTTATTTTTTAGTAAATTTAAGTCATGACCTACATTTTCTGCATTTTTTGTACATTTGGTTTCTTGAGGATCTCAGGTTTTCTTAGTTCAATTTCTATGGGTTCTGTGAATAATATGTTGGTCTTCTGCTTTAATATTGTGGGTGGGAGGGAGGGTCTCAACTTTTGTTATTTATGTGATTTTATTGTAAAATTTTGTTTCTGCCAAGTTTAGGATTGATCTCAAATTGGCTATGGAGGTTTTCTTCCTTTCTTTCATGGAGTCTAATGTAAATTTGGAATTTCAAAATTTTCCTTTTAACTGGTGTAATTTTCTAATTACTATGGGATTTGACACATAAAATCAAGGCGGTGTTAGATTTGTTCATCTGTGTTTTTCTTTGGTATTGATGTGAGAAATTCGTTTCTGAAAGTGTAAATTTTAATTTCTTGAGTTAATTTATTTTGTGGAGTTTGAAGAGGAAAAAATGTTTTTGAAAAGGCATGCTTATCTTAGTTGAATTTGTTGACTCCCTATTGTGCTGAATTGTGATTGTTTTGATTCGAATTGTAGATGATGGTGGCCAATTGTCATACTTCTTTAATTACTAAACATGGCTTTGTTCTTATATGGAGTAGCAACTGTAAGCTAATATTGGTGAGACTGAAGCTGATAAGGTTGATGAGGCTGCCCTCATTGGCAATGAAAAGCATGAATCTAAGTGTATAACAAGTTACTTTTAGAATATGTTTCTGTTTTATCTGGTGCTTCTTTCTGGTGTCCAAGGTAGAGATGATGCCTCTTTCGGGCATCATCTCTACCTTAGAAGTTGCCAAATTAGTATTTTCTTTGAAATGTATTTTTCCCATGCTTTCCTTCGAAACAGAGGTGACTAAAGAAAAAACATTACATCTTTCCATTACATGTTTGTCATATACTTTGTTTTCTCTTTTTTTCCTTTTTTTTTTTTTGAATTTACCATTGTCATTTGCTTCTCGTGTTTTATCCTTGTGTTTTGATCATATGTGACTTCTTTGCACATTTTTCTACAAGCTTTTTTGCTGCAATGGCGCTTGAATTGACTTGGTTGGTGAAAATTTTTGTATTACATGTATTTTATGTCCCTATGATTTTGTTTTATCCATATGTGATATTTCTTTATGTCTGTTTTCTTGACCTGATTGCTAGTTTTGTTTTTTAGTAATATTCATCTTCATTCCAATGGGAGCTCACTGCTCTAAATTAGGCTTTTGCTGGTAGCCTTCTAACCTCAGATCCAACGTCCCTTATTCCTCTGATCTTGGTAATTCTTAAAACTCTGTTAAATGTATAAAAATGTAATATTTGTTCCCTTTTTCTGATTTTTTTCTTCTGGGATTTTAGAGAAATGTGGAGAAAATCAGAGGATGAAACTGTCAGCATTTAAAGAATACAGTTTAGATGAGCTGAATGTAGCACTTTCAAGATTCTCAGTTGAAAACATTGTATCAGAACATGGAGATAAAGCTCGCAACGTTGTCTACAAAGGGCAGCTTGAAGATGACACCTCTTGGATTGATGTCAAACATTTCAATAAGTTTGCTTGGCCGGATTCTCGGCAATTCCTGGTTGTTATTACTTCTTTGAAGCAAGTCCCCAGCTATAGTCTTCACAAATGTGATATTAGCTTATTTATGTACGTGCTTTGATATCAGCCATAGTACTTAGTTAACCATGAGTATGGTGGATGTTATTCAGATTTAAGATTTGTTGTATGCAATTTGTAGGTTGATAAGTGAGGAAACTTATTGCAAGCTGATGTGATTTGAGACATTGATTGTACGATTGTTATGCCATATGAATTGAAACATTGATTATACGGCTGTTGTACATTTGTTTCCAGTCAAATGGGATGAAGTATTTTGTTTCTACCAATAACATAAAGTCGCTTTCATTTTTTTTCTTACTCACTTTGGCTTTTACTATTTTGCATTTTCCTGCGTACAACCTTATTAACTCTCCTCATTCACTTTTTTTTTTTTTATCTTGAAAATGACCTGAGAGCATGGAAAGTAAAATCTAAGCTCTAATGATGCTTATAAGTAGCTACATCATTAGGAAATTATTGGACCTTGTAATTAAATCATAATGCAATATAATCTTGAAATAGCAAGTGCAGATGACAACTTAGTCGAAGTCTTATAATATTTTGGTTCTTTAATGAGAGTAACACTTACTATTTTTTACATGATTACATACTTAGCTGAAAGTTTACTTTAATTTTGGTTTAATATTTTATTTAGATTTATTTGTAACTAAATTCCATCAAAAAACAAACATATTTCATTAATAATCCATTTTGAATTAGTACAAATTATTTTATTAAATTGGGCATCCCCATCATTTTTTCCACCATGCGTGGCACAATGCTTAGATTTTTTTCGCTGCTGGTGAGATTTGAACCCTCATCAACAGTCCAAGGAGGGGCTTAAGTCCCTCCCTGGTGGCCACTGAGCCATTGATCCAGTGGTTTCTTGGGGATTTTATAACTATGCCCAAAATCACGTGAAACACTTCTTCCACGCCCTTTTCCCTATTCCAACGGAGTGTAAATTTGTCGGATTGGAGGAGAAAATGTACAGTACTGTGTAGTTGGGCTTGGCACGAGTCACGACACAGGACCCAAAGATTCTCTTGAAGTAGTACAAAGTCCCTCGGTGTGAGTTGAGTGATTTTATCCGTGTTTGTGTTTGTATTTACTCTTTTGTTTTCTGGGTCCCATCTAACCGGCCCAGACATGGGGCCGGCCCGGATGCGGATATATTAGTATATTACTCCCTTACTTTACCACTAGTAATTTCTTCCCTCATTTAAAATATTTGCAAAAAAAAAAAAAAAAAAAAAAAGTCAAACTCAAAACGGCAAATGTCACGCAAGGCAGACCCGGTTTTCTCTGATGTAGTGTTGCATAAGTTGAGGGGGTGTGATTTTTTGACCTCAGACTGAGGTCAATGAGTTGGAACAACCAACCCATCCACATCCAGAATTACAATGACTCCCATTTTGATCCATTTATTAGTATCAGTAGTTCTCTAACTTTTAATTAAACGAGAAGAAACTTTCATACCATTATTTAGGCGGCTTTCAGATGTTTGCCTCTTCATGAATTTTGCTTTATTTTGACTATGGAGCAGTCAGTAATTTATACGATAATTTTTTTTTTTTTTTGCTTCCGTGTTGAAAATACTAAAAAAGAATAAATAAAAGGGCACAAATCTTGTTAATGCTGGAGGGATCAAAAAATTCTCCCCTTGTTAATCCTGTTGTAAACAAACACAGACACTATTATAGAGTAGTGAGTAGCAATTGAGTGTCAATAAAATCGGTAATTGCTTGCTGTAGAGTATAGATATGGTATGAGATGACAACATTGGATTACAAGGTAGAGTGTGATCATGATGGACTGATAAATGATTAGTGTTTGTTGGTTGGTATAGTAGAGAGATCAATTACTACTGTTAAAATGTTATAACCAAGGATCAAGTCTTTGGTAGGGGACTTTAAATTAAAATGATGCTACTCGTCGTCTTGCAACAATAGGACATGAGATGAGTGGTGATATAATTGCTAATTCTTCTTTTTCTTTTCTTTTTTTTTTTTTAAAAAATAATTTCAATTCAAAATAAGGAAAAAAAAATGAAAGAAGCAGGTAGATCGCTATATTAAGTCTTTGTGTTTTGATTGTATTTTTCTGAATCTTTTGTAAAAAAATTACTGTAGCGATTTCATATATGTGAAGTAAAAAATTGATTGAAAAATATATTCACAAAAAATATTTTAAAAAAAAATTTGCTGTCCAAACAATGCTTAAATTTTGGCATCACAACTTAAAAAAGGTTAAAACCATCCAAAATCCACAATGAATTGACTTCATTCACACGAGACAGAAAAGGAGTATCTATAAAGTAATGCCACTGAATTGTCAAAAAGGAGGAAAAGTAACGCCAGTAGCAACTAGCAAGTACTCCTCCTACTAATTTAAAAAAAGAAGAAGAGAGGGTAGGAGTACTTTAAATCCTCCTATGTTTGGGAAATTATGGCAGTAGTATGCCTCCATTTTCACTTTTTCGCCTTTAAAGTACACTTTTCCTCAATCCAATCACTAAGTGCACCTCTCCAAAGCAAAGTCCTCAGAGCTCCCCCCAACGTAGAAAAAAGGGGCAAAAGATGTCTACGAGAAGATGACGCCACCGGCCACCAACCACCACCACCAGCACCACCATGGCCGTCGCCGCCACTAAATTAGTAGCGGTGGCTTTCTGCCGTGGAACTAAAAGGACAAATTTAACCCCACAATAACTGACATGCCTATCCCATGCCAATAAGCCTGTCCCCCAACTCCCACTTTACCTTCTCTCTCTTTCGCTGAGAAAACCAACCCATTTCTTTCCAAAACCACCCTTGATCCTGATCCTGATCCTGACCGTGAACCTGACCGTGACCGGCTTCTCTCTCTCTCTCTCTCTCTCCTCATCTGATAGTAGAGAGCAGTCCAATTTTCAACATCACCATAAATTCAAGCAACTGTTGAACGAGACTTGCGCTCTCTTTCATTCGGGTCCGGCTCCATGGTTTGAGCTCAGAAGGGAAAACCCAAAAACCAAAACAAGTCCCGAAAAAGGAACAAACAAAACCCAAAAAAAAAAAAAAAAACCAAGTAGTCCCACTCCTACTACTAGGGATTAGTATAACAACATCAGCTATAAAGCCGGCTGGAATGGCGTCGTCGAAGGTGATGTCGTCTACATCACCGGCCAATCCGGATCTGCCACGCCACTCCACCTCCACCGCCACCACCTCCTCCACTTGTTCTACTAGTACTACTGGTCTTTTACAACATTCTTCTGCTGTTTTCCATCCTCCTCCTCCTCCTCATCAACAACCCCAAGCCCACCACCATCTCCTCCATCACTCTGATGATCACTCCTTTGGCTCCATGAATATGGAGGAAATTCTCAAAAATATTTATTCCGACCCTGACACTCTCGCCTCCGCCGTCGACGGCGACGGCTCTCTTCCCGCCGTCGGAGCTGGGAGAAATAATAATGTCGGGGAAGTTGGGAGTAAGACGGTGGACGAGGTCTGGAAGGAGATTGTCAGCGGCGGAGGAGCAGCAGCAGGAGGAGGAGGTGGGAGTCATGAGCCGAGGATGACATTGGAGGATTTTCTGACCAAGGCCGGAGCTGTGAGCGAGGAGGATGTTAGGGTCCCCGGGGTTTCTTCTCCGGCTCCGCCGCCGGTGCCTGCTCCGGCAGTTGGTGTTGGTGGAGGAGGAGGTTATGGAATGGAGGCGATCATGAATGCGGCGGCCTCTGGGGTTCAATTTCCCCCCGTGGTGCACATGCAGAATGCGCCGGGGGGTTTTGGTATGGAGTCACAACTGGGGTTTGGAAATAGGATGGTGCCAGCTGGGGCTGCGGGCCAGATAAGAGCAGGTGCAGGAGGGACTGGTGGTGGTAGTGGAAGTGGGAGAGGGAAAAGGAGGGCGCCACCGGTGGAGGACGTGGCGCTTGATAAGGCTACGCAGCAGAAGCAGAGGAGGATGATCAAGAATAGAGAGTCTGCTGCAAGGTCTAGAGAACGCAAACAGGTACTTTTCCTTAAGTAAAGTATTTGATTTTGTTTCCCCTTTGAAAGAAATTGGTTGGATTATATGAATGCATGTCTGAATTTTTTGGAAAATTTTAGGCTTATACTGTGGAGCTGGAGGCACTAGTGACGCAATTGGAGGAGGAAAATGCAAGGCTTTTAAAAGAAGAGGTGCCATTTTTTAACTTTTTGTTGTTAATGTGTGAAAGTTATCTTGCGCTTGTGGTCATATTTGTGTTGAGAGCATCACCGGAATATTGAATTAACTCAGTTAGCTTGGTCGTTGGTTGTTAATTAAGAGTGTACTGATCTTGTCTTTTTTCCCTTCGGACTCCAGTATGTGAAACATCCAGAGGCCATTCCATCTTAGTTTTAGAATGTGTTGATGATGGTTGAAGGGCTTAGTTATTGATATACACAGCCACGTACTGCACTCAAACACCGTACATGTCTATGACCGCTTTGTCAACGATGAAGCTTCGAAATAGTCGTGGCTTTTCATGATTAGAAGAAATTGTGACTTGTTTCATTGAATGTTTGTAAGGTGGTCTTTGTTGGCTATTGTACGTTTTAATTTTATTAGGTAAAAGCATCAATCAAATTTCAGTATCCTCATTTTTAACTGCACTAAATTTAGATTGCTTTCCATGTAATGCACTGTTGGGATTGTGGCCTTTGGGAGCAAGTGGTCGCAACAGCCGGCCTCTCAACTGGTAGTTTGACATTTGTAATTGCTCTGTTACTTGGTGCTGAAATTAAACTAAACCGAAACTTGAGGCATGTGGTGTATGAGAACAAAATGTTTGCAACCTGTTTTTCATGTTCTTTTGAATTTCATTACCTTTGCTTAAGTGGATCAATTATTGGCAACTTCACTAAGAAGATATCCTTTTAATGCAGGCTGACCAAAAAAAGAAAAGGTTTAAGCAGGTACAACTTTTACTCTTGTCTTTTTAAGTATACCATTCTTTAGGCCTGATGCAATGACGTTTATTTTCTAACTTGAACTGTGTAACTGACCTTTTATGTCCTGTATATTCTGATTTAACATTTTCGTTTCTTTATACTTGTACTTAGTTTTGCCACTGGTTCTAGAGATTGGTTTCCTTTTCAGGCTTCTATGTGTTTGTTGGTTATGACACATTTTGGCTGTTAAAGTTTTGAGATTAACCCCTGCTTATATTCTTGTGTCAATTTTGCCACTATACTTTGATATTCGAATTTCTGTTTGTTTGCATGTAACTACTTTTTGACGTTGACCATATTGTTGTGACACATGATCAATTTTGCCCGTTAAACTTTAAGAGAGGTTTAAATGCTTTTTCCAATGTATGTGGTTTCTTATTGAATTAATTGTTGCTGCTGCCCTTTTGAGTGGTAAGTAGCCTTGGAGATTTGTATTAGGTAGGTGGCACAAATTTTGCCATTATACTTTTGAGAGCTAAAGTACTATTCAAATTCCTGCATTTGTTTGCATGCGACGACATTTTGACTGACACATGATCAATTTTGCCCATTAAAACTTTAGAGAGGTTTAAATGCTTGTTCAAATGTACATGATTTCTTCTTGAACCAATTATTGCTGCTGTTCTTTCGAGCAGTCAGTTGCCTATTAAGATTTGTGATTGGTTGGTGGCGAGAGATGCATTTGGAAGCATATGCTGTGTATTGATTATTTCTGCGTGTTCTTGCCTGTGCCACCAGACAAAATGGACATTACACGCTTGTGAACGCTATGGAATTGCGCTTCATATGGTTGTAAAGTTTTTATTCAACTATACTTTTCAGTCAATGACTAACTCACAAAACAGATATGCCAATTCATTTGCCCCCAGCCCTTCTGTCTCTATTCCAGGTATTTTCACTATTTCTAGTCTGCGTGGCATACATGCAATAAGACAACAAATGCAGCCAGAACTTTTATTTTGTATAAATTTTCTGATCCTCTGGAACTAGAAAACATTCACATTTTGTAGCACTTGTCTTGTCCATCTTCATGAAGCCGACAAAAGAACTAGTTGAAAGAGGTCAGAGTTTCTCTATAGACGGGAACTTTGTGCTTCAGTAGTCATGACTTCACTATAGCTGCGTAAAAATCTATCTTCTTCATACTTCCGTCATTTTTTGACATGAGCTCAAAATGCAGCACGAATTTGTATATTATGATGAACCATGTCTGATGTGAATCAACAGAATCTTTTTGAAACTTTTGTCCAACTTGACATGAATCTTCATTGCAAATTCCAAAAATTGTTGTCAGGAGGAGGTGGTGAGGTAAAGGGACAAGTGATTCCCTTTTTCCTTGTTATTCTATAGTATATGCCTAGATACTAGTGCTGCCATCCCAATCATACCGCTATTTTACATATTTGAAGTGTTTATCTCATCATTATCTTGTTTACTCTATGCACCGTTTATAAGAGGTATAGTATACGCTGTAAACTGGTTTCAACATGCTGGTGGAGTTAGTAATACCCTGTTTCTTCAAAGTCATCTCAAGTTAACTAGACAAATTTCTCTGGCAATTGCCCTTCATGCCCTTAGGGTGGTAAGATCAGCAACCTGATTTTGTAGCCTTCCAGCAGTTACATCCACTGTTGTCTGTTTTCTTTATCTGTAATTCAGGCAAGATGGATTTTAATGAGCAATAGTAAGCTTACTAAGACTGGAATCATGTCCTTATATGGCTGTTGCTCAGGCCTCTTCCTTTTTTCTTGTCCTTTGAACACATCCAAAATTTTTATTGAATATACTTATGGAAGGCAAAGTTTCTCTTATAGGATAAGTAAGCTTTGCTGTGCTTCAAGGTTTTAAACCTTGATATCCACACTCAATCAGAATCTGACTTGATTTGTTATAGATGGCGTATTTTACTCCTTTGTTGCTTGTGGAGGTGAAATGCATATCTGCGTTGGTTTTCATGATTTTCAGCATGCAGGTTGAATGTTACCATCAACTGCTCTAGTTTCTTATTTTATTTTGTTTTTCCTCGCACTTGTAACATTTTAGATCATATCCTTGTTTTTTGGTTTATGCACGCGGAACTTTACCACATATAAATAAACACAAATTCTTCTCTGTTGTTTACATGCAGCTTATGGAAAACTTGATTCCAGTTGTGGAGCAGCAAAGACCACCAAGAGTTTTGCGGAGAGTGCAGTCAATGAGCTGGTAGGACGGCTTTTAATTATTCAGTCAAGAACAAATGTAGAAATGTTTCATGACCAGTTAAATGAGGTGGATACAGGATTAGTAAGAAGAGGCGTTCTGGTGCGGGGGAAATTGCTTGATGGGAGCGTTTGCAGATACAAAGTAGAAAAAGAGCGATTAGACATCTAGAATTTTCTCATGGGCCCATAACGATCAAGCTTGAGAACTATCCCTTAGTTCTGCGTAGTTTAGATGTTGTAGAGAAAAGGAAACATTTTCTTATACAGGAATTGTAGCTTCTCTTTTTCGTCATGCCGGTGGCTGGGAAGACCATGATCTTCGGACTAATTTATACCAAATATTTTTTTGTTTTGTAGTTTCAAATAAAGGCTTTATTTGTTACAATCTGTTAGGTATTTTATTGATTTAGATCGGCTTGATTACCACGTGTTCTGCATAACATGAAAATGTACGGAGCGTGCTTTTTAAAATACTAAATGAATACTTCTCTGTTCTTTTACATTATAAGTATGACGTGTCAGTTTAAATTAAAATAAATGGACTCAATCCACCAGAAAGTATATCGGCTCACGTACTCACACCTATCTACTTGCGGAATGGTCTATTGATAAGCCTGGTGTCAGGGTGCAATCAAATCAACTCGCGAGCGGCTTGGTAAAAGGCTTGGCCCGAGCTTGGTCAATTCGAGAAGCTTGATCTCGAGCTCGAGCTACTCGTTACATTCAATGAGTCGAGTTCGAGTTTCAAAAATAAATATTCGAGTGCTTGACGAGCTTAATCGAGTTTTCATATTATATTTATATTATATATTTTGAGAAAAAATTTATAGGTTTATTTCAAAATTCAAGCTTTAAGCTCGAGTGGATCGGGTTTGACATTTACTCAAGTTTAATCGAGTTCAAACGAGTTGAGGTCGAGTTTAATTTTATTTTATCGAATCGAGCTCGAGTCCAAATTTATTTACTCGTTCGAGCTCAAGTAGCACTGATTCTAATCGAATTCGAGCTCGAATATGATGCTTCTTGAGCTCGACTCAGCTCGATAGTACCTCTAGCCTGGTGCATATAATACGTACTCACCTACCCGATTATGGTAGGGTGTATTGATGGGCCTGGTGTATACTATTATGGAAAAACTCCCAAGTATTGATAATTTCAATTAGACCTTAAAGAGATGGATGTGAATTTGGTGGATTGTTTTGAGGCGGTAATAACATCAAAACGTGGTGCAAGTGCGAGTTTTTATAGCAACTGCAGGGCATAACTCTGAAATATTTTTTACCTTTTCCACGTCTGACTAATCTCATTGAAATCTTAATGCTGGTAGCTATAATTTAAGTTGCAAGACAGACTGCTGAGAGAATGGACGATGAAGACCAGAAATCGCAATAAACTAATAATTTCGATGACTGCTCTGGCAAATTTTTAAGCGCGGGCGAGTTACTTGTGATGTACAACAAATTACTTGGGCAGCCACTAAATTTTTACAATAGTCAAGATATGGCCATTCAACTATTAATATCATATTTTTATCGACTAAATTATTAAAAGTGTAACTTTTAAGTTATTTCATCTGATTTCACCGTTAACTCTATCAGATCTAAGAATCTGCACAATTCACGACTCAAAAAAATTTAATATCTACCTGAATAATTTGTTGTTAGCTAGTGCCAAAAGCTAAGAAATAAGTATATAAAAATATAATATCAATTAGTGCTTAATAACTAGGGTTGTAATCGAGTCGACTCGAACCCGAGTATCGCCATACTCGAGCTCGACTCGACATAGAGATAGGGGAGCTCGAGCTCGAGCTTGAGCGAGTAGTATTATTGGAGCTCGAGCTCGAGCTCGAAACTTGCTTTCAGTACTCGAGCTCGACTCGCATGGGCTCGAGTCCATTCGAGCATTCGAGCCTTATTGAGCTCGAGTTATTAAATTTCATTTTCTTCATAATTTTTGAGTGAAAAGTCATTATTGCCCTTTTAAAATTTTTATATAATTTGAAACATTTTGTAATTTTGATAATTTTTTTGGGTATAATGGTAATTTTATATATTAAATAATATATATAATTTTAATAATAATATATTAAATAATTAAATTTAATATGCTCGATAAGGATCGTCGAGCCTCCGAGCATCTCTTCTGGATGCTCGAGCTCGACTCGATAGCCTTATCGAGCTACTCGAGCTCGATTCGAGCTCGATTTGACTGAGTTCGAGTTAAGCTTTTGACCGAGTTGCTCGCGAGCAGTTCGGTTCGATTACAACCCTATTAATAACGGTAGTATTGATATTTTTTAATTGTAAGTTTTTTTTTTTTATATACAAGTGAGAGATCTCGAATACTATCTTTCATTTACAATCTTTTTTCTTATACTATCAAATCCATCCCTTTTCCCAAATTATATAAGTGTTCGCGTGACAAATAATGATTAATTTTTTAATATTTCAGAATTCCGCATTACAGCAATTATGGTAAGACTCACAAATCAAAATAATGAGGGGAGTCTGGGTTGTAGGGCAAGCTCCGGCGAAGACCTGGTTCCGGATTGATCTCAAAGTTGATTAGACAGCCCAACCCCCAAACTCTAATGGTTGGGTCGGACATTATGGACGATACATGTGGCATGCGTTGATTCTTAACTAACAGCCTCATCCACGCCAAACATAACTGAACTGCCATCAATATTCAATAATACCAAGCAGCAGTTACTGAGGGCCAGTCCTGTCCTGTACATTTGTCCCATCAGCATCAAACGCAGCATAAAAAAGAACTTCGAAATGACTGATAATAGGTACCATGTGCATTGGAATTTGGATGAATATCCGACCGACAACACATACTAATAATTTTGCCGTGATTTTTCTCGATAACACTCTACTGCCTTGCTGTTCCTAAAATTTTGTAGGAATATGGTGCTATTGCCTTTTTGAGAAGGGGGGGGGGGGGGGGATTGCAAGAAGCATCATATTTCAGGAATCAAATTTGTATGCAGTGCATGCATGCATTCTCTTTTCTGTTCTCTCCAAACCCTGTTTTCACGTGGCATTCCCGCATCCTATCAGGCAAACATCAAAGGCCCAGAGAACGAACTGTCAAAATTAATGGCAGCCGCTATAATTGGGCACAGTCAGGAGCGGGATTCAGGCAGGCATGTGAGGGAGGAGGTCTTGGCTCACACAAAATGTTTTGGTCTAATAATTGAAACAAGAAATGTCACATCAAAAGTCAATCATTTTCGCCCCACAAAGCTTATTCTGAGTTATGCACCAGAAGCTTCATGAATGGACAAGCAAAAACTCCATTCAAAGGCACAGTCCAAGACACAGCAAAACGCTCTCAGTATCTTCAATGTAACAGTTCCAGGCAGAAGAAGAATTGTCATTGTGATCTCTAGCTCCTGCAACCCGATGAATGTACCAAGTATCTGAGATGACGAACAAAATCAAAGCTATAACCTCTGTGTCACAGCTCATTTAACATAGGGGCGCAGTGAAAATCGACAGCCACAAACTCTATTAACTTTTTGTTGGCAGTAATATTCCGTTGTTCGCACAAAACACTGACTGGAATCATGGGATACACAGGGATCCTCGATGTTTCTCAATACAGATGAGAGACAAAAAGAGAGTGTGTAGAGTTAGTAGCACTGATTCATCATCCTTCAGTGGTGCAGCAAAAACCTCAAACATCACAAGGTACAGCTATCGCACACACCGTAGGGTAAAAAGCCCCCAAGCACCCAAACCATCCACCTGGAAGGTAGTCCCTTGAACACTAGATTTGTATATCAGGATATCGATTGGACGAGGTCACCTTAGCAGGCACCAAAGCCAGAGAGATAAGAACCAAAGGATTACTAAGAAAACGTAACAAGTGTGTGTGTGTTTTTTTTGTGGTGGGGTGGGGTGGGGTTGGGTGGCGGAGGGGAGAAGAGGATCATTCTTCAAACCGATAAAATGCTGCAAGTACTGCGGTCTCAAAGTTCACAGATGACTTTGGATTGCCATTTTTCTTCCAAAAAATATTTACGATTTCCGTGAACACACTTTTTAGTAACTTTTTTATCTCACCTACATCAAATCGCTATAGTACATTTTTCTTTACAAAAACTCCAGAAAATATCAATCAAGACTAAGGGTATTCTTTACAATGTCTAAAACTCAGCAAGCAATTTGCCGGGATGCTGCAATACTATCAAAACAATCTTCAACAATCACAATCCCATTCTCCTTTCTATCTATTGACGGGATGCCACAATACTATCAGATACCCTCTCTGAAAGATAGCAATTTGTGTGGAATGAGGCTTAAGCTCTTCAATGCATTCAACCCGCCTTAACATAAGAATACCTTTATGAACCAAGCAAAGCCACCAACATACTACTGCCTTCCTGTCTCTCGGTTCTCTATTCCTGCTTTCTGGTTAATTCATCTATTTATCGAGGGCTGAAGAAGACAGCAGAAGTTCCGCAGCAATGGAGACCAAACATTATAACCAGGAAAAGACACAGGGATAACAAGGATTACCAATGGCATCTTCTTACTTGAAACAACGTGAATTTACCCAACTTTGTTATATGGCCACAATTAAAAATGCAAGTTAGTGCCAAAACACCAACAGATCAGTCATATCAAACAGAAGCACCTTCACACAGCAACAGTAGATAATTACTAATTAATGCATCTTTTGCTCTTTAGATGTCATGGCAGCGATTTTGATTTTGTTATTTTCAATTCAAGTTGATGCGTATTCATAAGGCTGAAGCGGCAAGAAAGCAACTGACCACCATCACTGTTATAAAAGTTTGACTAACGATTAATAACAGAATAGCTTGATGGCTTTAAACATGGGCATAAAATATGACAAAGAAGACAATTGTCCTTTACTGGAAATACAGATCACGAAAAAAAAAGTTAAGAAACCAAAGCAACTTTGGAGATAAACTATAAAACAACATACAAAACATGGACATGTGGTTTTTCTGTTCTTTCTTGTCCTCCTCCCAAACAGCATATTAACAAGTACAAAAGGTTACCTAGTGAATTCATTTACATCCTTCAATCGAACATCTTCCTTCCATTCACCAGGAATAAAAACAAAAACATTTAAATTATGTATACTCCATTCAAACTTCTTTAAATTTCTTCTTCACCCACCAAGTCAAAGCATTATGTTTGAGCAGCCTTCCCCAAGAGATCAAGACCCTCTGTCCGGCAAGACATTATCTTGCGGAAGACTTCCCTCAAATGGCGCTCCAGTGGATCAAGTTCAGCCTTGCATACTTCACAGAACAATGATAACTCTTGCATACCATCTCTGGCATCTTTCCTCTGTTCCTCTGTCAATGGGCTCTGAGCAGAATCTACCAAGTCTGTAATGCGATTGATACATTT